TCTTGATTCTTGAGACGAGAGAGAGAGAGAGAGGTCCACATAGCTTCCTAACCCTGCAATAATGCAGTAATGCAGCAACATCAGACCTGATAATTTTTCACCATATAAATCTATAATCCAGGCTTCCATATCTTCTCTGATTAGTTTCTATACATTTATTAATATCTCTGATGAGTGAGCATAACATAGCTGTTTTACTTTATTACATCATAACAGAGAGAGAGAGAGAGAGAGAGAGAGAGAGAGAGAGAGAGAGAGAAAGAGCAGTACACTTCCTTTTTCAAACCGAGGGTGCAAAATGGCTGCAACAGGTCAAAGCAAAGCCTTTGTCATCTCAATATCTTACATATTCTTATCTTCACTTATCGGCACTCTTGCTGCCGTGGCAAAACAACAAGAACTCGATCGAATTTCATCTCTTCCAGGACAGCCACCAGTGAAGTTTTCACAATTTTCTGGCTACGTTACGGTCAATGAGAAACATGGCCGAGCTCTCTTCTACTGGCTGACGGAAGCTACGACAGTTCCAGAGAAGAAGCCTCTTGTTCTTTGGCTCAATGGAGGTCAGTCTTTCTAGCTAGCTACTTCCTCTGTTTTCTTCGCTGTTGATTAATGATATACATCATAGATTCATGTTTTCTTAAAAGTCTGACATCATATTTGGCTCTTGCTCTACATGTTACCATAGTAAAACTGTACTGAAAGTGAATTCCATTTTCTCAAGTTCTTTTTTCCAGTCATTAAGATTGGTCCAGCATTCCAGCTAATTTCACCCTATAGCATATTCAAATCAAATAACTTGCATCACCCATTAAAGGTGATGTCTTCAAGTACCGCATGCAAAAAAATGCGAAACATCCCATAAACAGTTAGTAGAAAACAACCTCTCGTATCACAATGCCATAAACTGATACGAGCACTTCATTTTCCCTGCAATTATTGTCTTTTTCTTTATTGGCTCTGTTCTTGAAATTTTGGTATTGATACCAAAATAACGAGCAAAAAAAAATCTCTTGCCTCTCAATAAATGTAGCATTAATCCCTCATCCGCATGTCCTAGCTTGGGTCGTAAACCTATTGCAGGTTCCTACACTATCCACAATTCCAGATACATCAACTCCAGGGGCAAATTAGCTACCTAACACCCCTTAACCAAGGCTAAAATGCACCTTATACCAAGGTCCGTTTCAACTGGAAAGAAAGTATAGTAAAAACAACTGGTTGTTTACGAGGTACCAAAAAGAAAGCCAAAAATAAAAACCCACATGGGATCTCGTGATCTATCTCTGTCTGTATCTTTTTAGGGTTTTATTCCTTCTACAACTCTCGCTTATTCCTTGTTCTGCATTAACCCGTTCCCTCAGAAAAGCTTTTGCTCTCTGCGTAATTTCTTTGTCTCTTTCTTTTCAATTTGTTTGCATTTGAGTATTTTTTTCAAGGCAAAAAGAAAACCTAAAAGCTACCGCAAAGTGAACCAACTTTTTCCAGTAGAACTGTCCAAAATTTTCCATGTTGCTGCAACCAAAAGATGCCCCTCCCTCTCCCTCTCCTTCTCTTTCACTCTCTCTCACTCTCTTGCTTCTCGTGTCTTCTTGTTTCTTTGAGTAGACTCGAGATAAAGACGGCAGAAAAAAAAAAAAAAAAAAAGAGTGAAAAGAAGCTAGCCCCAACTCTCACGCACTGTTCCTTCGTTCCTTGGTCGCACGCGCATTCAACAGACAAGGTGACGGTGATGATGATGTGGCGTTGCCCGAGGTGTTCTGAGTTATGACCCAAAAACGGAAGGGGAATTTAGTTTTTCTTTTTTCTTCCCTTTTGTTACTCGGTTTAAAGAAAACACACACAAAAGTTAAAGTAAAGCGCAGGAAATATAATATAATAATATGGGTCGTATTAATGATGGAAGCCGACATCTCAGAAGAAGATTAAACTGTTTCTAGTGTATTTTATTAAGAGCGAAGAGGGTAGGTCTTCCTTCTCAGATTACTCCAGCAGTGACAACATTAAATATCTCCCGCTGAGGATGAAAATGAAAAGACGTAGTCACAATCTTGCCTAATAGTTTAGAGTAGACAAATTGACTGAACTGTTACGGTATTGAATACTTCCACTTTCACATTCGTATTCCAAGCAAAATTTTTGAGTATGGTATAGTTTAAGGAAAGCAACACCTTTTTCCTCTTGAATTTGTGATTCTTAGTTAGTTCTTTGACTATGAAGAAGAGGGGGGATAGCTATTTTTGTGTAGAAGATGTTGCAGTTCCATTGATTAGCTAAATTATTCTACTAATAAAAACTACAGCAATGGTCATTTCTATTGATCATTGACAGCCCCGACTTCTGCAGTTCTGCTCCACACACCAGATTGACCCTACTCCAAGTGATTATTTAGCTAGGCAGGAATAGAGGCATCACATTTCACATGGTGGAACTGAAACTGGGCCACTCTTCAATATAGCCCCCCCCCCCCCCTCCCCCGGGGCCCCGTACGACCCTCTCTTTTCTTGCTTGAAATCATGCAGTTTTAATTGTGTTAGCCTTTATTTATTGTGGTCGGGAAAATTCTGCCTTCATATCACTGTTATCTTTGAACCATTGAACCTCTCATTCAAGGGTCACATCTGTTCTTGGTCCAAAACTGCCTTCCATTTGCATTTATCAAAGAACTGCTGGTACTACAATGTTTCCTCCTGTATATATTGAAGATCAAGGTTTATCAAGAAATAACAACCTGAAAATGATTTCTTCAGATTAATTAATTTGATGATTTTGCCACTGACTCGCTGTGCAGGGCCAGGTTGCTCATCTGTGGCATATGGAGCAGAGGAAATGGGACCATTTCGGGTTAATAAAACTGGCTCGTCTCTTTATCTCAACATGCATTCATGGAATATAGGTAATAATCAAGCATGTATTAGTTGTATGCATGTCTTGAATTTGGTTTCTAAATGGAAAAATCACATGAAGGGAATATCAAATATTAGTGATGTTGATGAAACAAACTTCATTTAAATGGTCATAATCCTTTTTTTCAGCACTTATTTTCCTATCTAACTTTGTATCTGATTTTTCCTCATGTTTTACAGAAGCAAATATTCTGTTTCTCAAATCACCTGCTGGAGTTGGATTCTCTTACACAAATACAAGCTCCAATCTTAAAGACTCCGGAGACAGTCGGACAGGTGTTTTCAATTTGCAGCTAACCACTTCTTTTTCCTAATTTCATTCGTGTATCATTCTTTAATCCTGATAGTAATTTGTTTGTGACACAGCTCAGGATTCTCTTATTTTTCTCATCAGTTGGATGTCAAGATTTCCACAATACAAGCACAGAGAATTTTACATTGCTGGAGAAAGTTATGCAGGTATATGAACCTGCGACAACTGGTTATATATAAAGCTTTCCAAATTCTTCCCTCAAGAGAGAAACGTCTGAACTGACAAAATTGATAATGTTTATGTAGGGCATTATGTTCCCCAGTTGGCCAAGAAAATTCATGATTATAATAAAGCCTATTCGGGTCCAATCATCAATCTTAAAGGATTTATTGTAAGTAAATTAAGCATAATTTTCACTTTTGTCGATAACTAAGATATCAGAAACAATCAACCAAAAAGCTCTATATAGAGCTCACGGACTTAAAAACTTTTTTAATCAAATCATACAGGTTGGAAGCGCAGTTACAGACAATTGCTATGACAGCATTGGAACTGTTACATTCTGGTGGAGCCATTCCATGATATAAGATAGAACCTACAAAACCATCGTCAAATATTGCAACTTCACAGCAGAGAAAAGTTCTAAAAAATGTGATGATGCTGTCAGTTATGCCATTAACCACGAGTTCGGAGACATTGATCGATACAGCATTTGCACTCCATCTTGCTTGGTATTGACAAACAAATCAGCAAGGCATATAAGGCTCAACAACACTCTTTTGCATAGACGTGCTTTTGGGTGTGATCCTTGTACTGAAAATTATGCTGAGAAATACTATAATCGGCCGGACGTGCAAAAGGCTATGCATGCAAATACTACTGGAATTCCTTATAAATGGACCGCTTGCAGGTTTTTTCAACGATACTTTTGTCATTAACTTGAATTCTTTCTGAAAATGGGGGTTTGGTGATTGAGAAATGATTTTTGTCATTGGACAGTGATGTTCTCATAAAAAACTGGAAGGATTCTGAAAATTCCATCTTACCTATATACAAAGAGCTGATTGGAGCAGGTCTAAGAATATTCGTTTTCAGGTGAGTTTCAAACAATCAGTCCAAGATCATTAGAAATTTCTCACCATGTTTTTCATTTTCAAATTTAGTTTTAGTCTTTATTTTACTTTTTTAATTGGAAACCTCATTTAAAAATATCTTAAATTTTGTCCTTAGAAAAATTAATCAGAGATAAATTTTCCATAACCGACCTGGCTCGGGTCCTAGTATTTACATTAGCAAAAGTCAATGGTATATTATAAAAGGATACAAAAACTCTTTTCTTTTTTGGATGAAGGAAATAAATACTCTTATAATAGTATGATACTCTTTCCTTTAGATACTGGCAGCAGATGTAAGTCGCGGTTAAAGATCGGGAGGTGAGACAGGCTGACAATTACCATTCTCTAGCTGAATTAGCTCATGGCAAGATGTTTCCAATCATATGAATGACAATAGGCTTTTGCTACTGCTCGGAAATTAGGCTTTAGAGGTTAAGTGTTTGACTGTACTTGACGATAAGGATACAGGATTGTGTTACTGCATGATTTTAATCTGCACTGGACCTGATTTTTTTTTTTCCAAAAACTAACAGAATGTAACGTGCCATAATTACTTCTGTTGAATGCAGTGGAGACACAGATTCAGTTGTACCTGTGACTGCCACCAGGTTTTCCCTTAGCCATCTCAACCTCCATATCAAAACACCATGGTATCCTCGGTACTCTGGCAACGAGGTACTCACATCTTACACCATATTTGATTCCCAAAATGTGGTTTTTTTAGCAGTACATTCTTGTATTTCCTTCTGCTTTGTCTTTTTCTTTTCCGATTTTGCATTTCCACAAGTGTGTTATAGATTCAGTTTGAATCAAATATGATTGACTAGGTTGGAGGGTGGAAAGAAGTTCCATCAGAAAATCACAATACAAAATTCATAGTCAGAAGTACAAATGAGCATTTCTGCATTGGTTTGTGCACAAAATTGAAACCCATCCAGGTACCAGTAGAGCGATCATCATTGCTTCAATCCCTCACTCAGACCTTGTGGCATTCCTAAGCTTTGTGCAAGATCACTCATCCTTTCCTTCATAGCCTGAGAAAAAGGAACAAGAAATTCTCAGTAAAAGTCATTCTGAACAAGGTTCTGCCTCCTATAACTATAAAAAATCATGAGGTTATCACCTGGACACTTTTTTGGTGGGCATCCTTGTATGCTTCATTAACTAAAAAAGATAGCTTCTGCACATATTAATTTTTATAAATAAAAAAAATTAGCAGGTTGATATGCCAATCAAGCAAAACCACACAAGAATTTTTAAATTCTTCTCAATGCCTTATAATTGCAGCCCAACATGGGCAATTATTAGGACCCAACTAAACCAATTGTAAGTTACAAAACTGTTTCTTCCCCTGTACCATTCCTTAAAAAGCATTTTGAAAATAAAAAGCACCTAAGACATGACCATAATAGAGGAGTCATCTCAAATAATCTTATGGAAAAATAGTTTAATAATCGTAAACTCACTTCTACACCCAATTCCATTGCTGCCTCAGTAATCTCTATTCGTATAGGTTGCTGGTTTCCAGATAATGTTGCCTAAAAAAGAAAATATTCTCAGTCAGAACATCTGCAAACTACAATAGAAAGATACATCATACAGTCGGCTTGAGACATAAAGCAGCAACAGTTCATTAGACAACATGAAACTGATATCGAACCATTCTTCATCTAAGCCTTCTTTATATTGTTCTATCTATCCTTAAGATTCAAGATCATAAAGAGACTTACAACCATAATAGTTTTGGATAAAAAGTATTTAAATCTAGGAATTTTGTTAAAAACAACATTCTTTCCACAGTAACTCCACCCACAAAAGACAGAAAAATTCAATTGAAGCAAAATAAGTGGAAAGTTATTCAGAGGAACAAAAAGTGGTAAAGTAAATTGGAACCTAAAAACTGGAATAAATTGATATACTTTAGCTTGAACCATGTTACTAATGTCAATGTAGCTAGCCATGTGAAGCAGTAGATGACATTACTAGAACCAGAGAGAGAGAAAGAGAACTATAATAACATACCTTTATCAGCTCACCTTCGCAGTAGCCATCAAACTCTGCTCTGTAATACAGGATGAAACCAATGGAACTCACACACAGAAAGAAACTAAAAGTTCAGATAATAATAGGGGTAATACAAGATCCATACGCAGCAAGTTCCTTTTGCACCCGCACAGCCTCAACCTGGACCACCATTTGTGCTTTCTTCACTGTCTCATAGAGATTTTGCATGTTTCCAAGAATTCCTGCCTAAAATAAAATTAGTTTCAGAGGATGGAGTGAGAGTCATACATGATGCAGTGTTCTAACTATTAACGTGCAATTGTGAAAAATGGTGAAGCTTGAGTAGCAGTTAACTGAAGCATAATGCCAGGTCACATGACTCAAGCAGTCAATCAATTTAAGAACTTTGAAATGGATCAGTGATTATGAAACAGAGTGCAAATCTAACGACAAGACAGAGGATTGGAGCCATGCATGCACAGTGGCTGCCTATAATCTCTCTCTGGCTCTCTCCATTTATATGTATAGGTGTAATAAAGTGAAAAAGGACACAAGCTGAACCTTGCTAGCATATAATTGACTTAGACTACCATCAAAATGGTAATTTATACTGGGCTTTCCTTGTCTTCTATCCCAACCGCACTCAGAACTTTAGTAAAAACATATTTCAAACAAATTAGATTATATGACTTCATACAGGATACTTGCTTCCTTATTTTTGCAGGCAGCCTCACTGGATCTGTTTCACTCATGGATTGATACATAAGTGGCCTATGCATATGCAGAAGTACTTTCGTTTCTCATTATCTTTAACATGGAGAAAGAATAAAGGCATTTGATGGAACATGCATCCAATGACTAGGCATTGACAGCAAAATATAGCTTATCTTGACATGAGGCATATAATATAATGAAAAAAAGACCATGTAAGTGTTCCACACTAACCTACTCAACTACCAAGATCAAATGCCACCAATAAGTTTTTCACATAAATTGCATATGATAAAACATGAATCCCATGAATAGGTATGAAGTGCAAATATAGCTTATCTAGACATAGGCATATAATATGAAAAAACAAAGACCGCATAAGTGCTCCACACTGACCAACAACTACCAAAGATCAAATACTACCAATAAGTGTTTCACATAAATTGCTAGAGGTAACAAGTAAAACATGTATATCAATCAAAGGGACATTGAAACTTAGAGATAACAATACTTAATGCATAATTTGAAGCATCATTTTCAATTATAGACAAGGCTGGGACCAACACAACTAGTATTAGCTACTGGTAAAATTAATGGGGAATTAATTATAATAAAACGGTCACAACAATATTAGAGCGTGAATCAGACCATAAAAATGCTAAGGAGGCTATTATTCCCATAATCTGGAATGCATGCTAGATGCTACTCAATGTCAGAGATTAATGCAGCCATTTCTAAAGAATAGTTTAAAATCTGGAGTGCATGCTAGATGCTACTCAATGTCAGAGATTAATGCAACCATTTCTAAAGAATAGTTCAAATTAACATGCACCATACACCAGAAAGGAAGGTAAGCATAACTGACCTTGGAAGATGCATCATCACCCTTCTCACTATTTTCCTTTTTTCCTCCAAATAGACCACACACACGTAGAGATCTATAATTGTACCCAGATTTCCGATGACCTGACAATGATAAAAACTGCTTACCAGCTGGATTTGAATTCAAATTAAGCTTACCTGAAAACCATCAGCAGAAAAACAAATTATAACCCAATCTTTAACACCATAAATTGGGTAACTTAATGCAGATAAACACTCAACCGCAAAATAGACACTAGAAGTATATAAAAAAAAAAAGCACACAGAAAAGCAAACAGTCCTCGGTTTGGTTACTAAGAAAATTTCTATTTCTACTTAATAAAAGGAGAAAAGGGGAATCAATACAACTATTTCAGCCATGCTGATACTACATTTCTTCTAAAAACAAGCACAATAATAAACCCACAAACAAAATCAAAGCTTTTGCATAGTGTATTCTGATCCTTTATTTTAGCAACCAAGGAGAGAGAGAGAGAGAGAGAGAGAGAGAGAGAGTGTGTTACCAAGAGAGAGTGATGGGATGGGCTTCTTCCAGTCATTGCCTCCGTGTAGGTTAGATACTTGAGCAGCCATGGCAGCTGTCGAAGCCATTGCTTTTGCAGGTTCCCTTGACCCAAAGATTTTTCAGATATTTCTATGGAGTGTAGACAGAATGTGAGGGGATTTCACAAGATAAAGTGTGGTTTTTTTGGCTTTTATTTTCCGGTGTTTAGAATTTTTTGTAATTGTTTTTGAGGGACAAATAAGAGGAAGATACGTAATCAAGACCGGATAGTTTGGCTTTCCTCGCGGTGGAACGTGGAAGTCAGAAATGAAAAGAAAAGGTCACTTTTGTAAATAAAAAATTCAAGATTCTTTTTATATAAATGGAAAACTCTTTTTGGACCGAAATATAGGAATGGGCGAGTGTAGTAATAGTGTTGGGATTTTGGGGCACATTTATGCCTCTTGGGCCATTGACATGGCTGAACTGGTTATTGTTGTTGTTTATATTTTATATATTTCCAACACAACTTGAAAAAGCCCAAACCAATTTGATACTCCATTTTTAGATGGAATCATCGAAAGGTAGTTGGTTTAACAACATATATATATATTGGTGCTAATCACCATACAATCCTGATTTTTAAGTCTTATTTCTGTCATCTCATTTTAATTTTACTTCAGCTATTCAATCACTTAGCTATGAATTAGTCTATTTGAAGAAGTGCTCACAGACATGGTATAAGTATCTGTTCCAATGTTTATAGATAAAGAAATGGTACTTTTTATGCACTCGATACAGGTTTTGGTCAGTCATTTGCCATAGCTTTGTATTTAGTTATTTTCTTTTGGTTCCCTGTCAGTTTGTTGAGCTTTTCCATAGGGAGTGATCGTCAAAAAGATGCATTGAGCTTTCAACAAAGTCGGCTACTTCCTTGACTTGTTCCAAACCCCGGAAACAAGTTCAAACCAAAGAGTCATGGTCGTGCTGAAAGTCTGGTTAAGCCTACAGGAAATGACTATTCTGTTCAATTTTATGGTCAACTATGTACACAAGGCAATTTCAGTCTTTCCCTTCCCAGTTCTCACTATTATTTCTTTCACTTTTCAATTGCAAATTAACAAAGTGACAAACCAATTCTGATTTGTAAACACTAAACAGTGATAACTAATAAGCACTACAAGTCGTCAATGGTGGAAGTGGCCACTTTGCTTCTGTTTCTGTCGTTTAATGGGCCCACGGGCTTAACTCATAAGCAAAGCTACTGGCACTTATTTTACTAAAAAAAAAAAAGTTTCGAAAATGCATGCTTGCTTTAAACAGTTTTTAACAGCGGAAAGCACAAATCTGCTTAAACAGCTGAGACAATTGGAGGAACATAAAGGACATTTTTTCAACCTTTTTGGTTATCCACTTGTTAACTTTTGACATATTCGCAAGTGGTTGTTTCACATGGACATTTGGAATTTGGAACTGCAGAATAAAGGCCCTCAAACTGATAAAAGCATCATAACTCTCTTTAATGAAATTAGATATGCTTGAAGTGACATGATGATGGCGAGTCCATGCCATAAGTGATAAGCTGATATGTTTGTTTCCTAGATGGGTGTCAATCTTTACGGGAAATTCTTTGCCAAATGGAAGAAATTATATGGAAATTTCTTCAATTTCACTCACATGTCTGTATCAGATAACATCATACGTCTGTGCAAGGAATTAATTATTAGTGGAAATGAAATGGGAAAGACAACGAGATAGGCAAGAAAGCTAGCGTTCTCTGCCATCTCTGAAAACTGATAGTAATAAAGCCAAACCATCCCTCTCTTTAAAACATTCATATGCATCATGCTTGTATCTTTTTTATCAGATTCAAATTTTAAATGAATAAATAGTAAGAGAACAAGGTTACCGACAGTGCTGTACAGAAGGGAAACAAACTTCAAGAGACCCCAAGCAGCTTTTTCCTGCACTTTTTCCCCATCCTTCGCCTTTCTTAAGCTATTCAAAGGTTTGTAGCAGAAGTTGCTGGTAGGGATGGCAACGGCCTACCCTTTAATATTTACATTTGCCTTCCATCCAATCCCCAATTTAGTAAAAAAAAAATCTGATTCATCTCAATCAGATTTTTTATTTTAAAAAATAATAATCTGACCCTGCCTCAGAACCCTCTGTTGTTTTACTATTCTTAGTTGCTGGCTTCACCATGGTGGAATTGCGCCATTAATTGTGGTACTGTTACTGTACACCTGATATGGACCGTATTTTAACAAGATACCCTCCCCACTTTTATGAAAATAGGTAATATAAACGACGAATTTATGTGATTAGATTGGCAGTAACAAATATCAACCACAATACCTTGTAGATAAAAGAGGATAAGTGTACAGATTGGCAGTCATCGACTTTGTGGGTTTCCACTTTCCAGCATTTACAAAGGGGCATGAAGTTCTGGCTATGAAAGATAGGATGGTGTCATTCCAGGGTCAGGTGGGCAGATCTGTAGATGTGGATGGGGATATTGCTGGTTTTATTCAAAAGGTTAACTCTAATGGGGGAATTTAATAGCAGGAAACTACTCAGGCAGCTCCTGCAAGTGGGATTTGATCCTATCCATCCACACAGGTTGACTCTCAAAGGAGTCCCTGGCTTGAAGCCAAATTTGGGTTTATTCCCTTCTCTTTTAACAGATAAACTTTGGAAAGGTGTGGGGGGTAAAAAGAAAGCTCCGGAGGGAAAGGGGAAGACGCATCCTTGAGAACAAAGGAAAGTGAAGGGGCATGTTAGGAAATTAATAGGCAATGGACCTGGACCTCGACTATAATTGTTGTGTGAAACGAAAAGCATCTATCTCATTGAAATTTATCATCAGTGATCACACCACAAGCTAAAGGCCAAAGCCTACAAAAATAAGGTACCTCGAACAGCTGGAAACCCCAGCACCAGCAACAACAACACATCAGAAAACAGCATCATCCTATTTTATCCTCCTGCATTTTTCAGCGCAACCTTCTCTCTCTAAGAAAAGAAAAACAGTTTTTCCATTCTTTGTCTACATGGGAAAAACAAACCAAAATATACAAAGAAAAGAAGAAAAATGGAAAGTCCACGCAACCTCTTCAATATCAAAGAGACACACACCACCCAACTCTCTCTATCTTCAATGGCCCAGCTGGACCAAAATTTATGTAGAAGAAAAACAAAAAAGAAAGGAAAGATAGAGAGAGAACGGAAAGAGGTAGAAGATGTCTTCAAATGTCCTCTAACCAAACCCACCTCACGAAAAACTCTCTTTCACAAAGCCAATTAAAAACATGTTTACCGGAAATACCCTTCTGCAACCCCCCAAAAAATATCATCTTCATCGCTGTCTCAACTCTCAAAAGAAACATTTTTTTCACCGAGTTATGTGGGCTTCTTTGGGTTTTCTTTGTCTCGGTCAGAGTTTTTCACAGAGTGAACAGGAAAGCGAGAACCTTCCTGTCTCTCTCTCTCTCTCTCTCTCTCTCTATTTTCTTGTTTATCTTCCTCTTATATCTTTGTCTACGCTTATTCTTTCCTTTTATTATTTCTTGCCCACGCCTCTTTCTTCTTTCTCATCTAATGTTCTTTCTTCCCTTTGTTTCTTTCTCTTCCTCCATATTTCCATATTTTGGCTTCTTGGGTTCTTCTCTTAATCTCTCACCTGTGATCTGAAACATGAAGAAGATGAAAGGGGTTGCGGCTGCTGCTGCAACTGTCATGGAGTACTCTCCATATGCTGTGTATGAGGACCAAAGGACGAGGTTCAAGCACCAGAGCCTTATGCAAGACTTTGAAGACTTGCACAAAGTAATTACTTCTGCGGATTATTTAGATTTACAGTTACTTTTTTCAGATTTCATTAGATCCGATGTTTGTAATCCTCTGGGTTTTCCTGATTTATGTTCTTATCTTCAATCTTTTGGTTGAGAATAAGAATGATTGTTGGATATTATGTTTTGGTCTCAACTTGATGGAGATCTTGCCTTATCCGAGCTAGGAAATGATCCTTCTTTTGTATGCGTTTCCTATGTGGTTTTGTCAGCTTGCTCGTTTTAGTTTTCTGTTTTTTGATGAGTTGAAAGATGAGGAAATATTAACTTTTGGTTGTTGTTCTACGTGAATATCTCCCCACCTTCCTATGGAACACAATGAAGTTTCCCTATTTGTCTTGAATTTTCTAAATTTTCGTTACTGTTGCTGGGAACATTTTTTCGATATCTGTTTTGTAGTTAGCTTGGAAACCTGAAAAATAATTGAAATGGCTCCTTTTGTTGTCTTTTGATCCAGTGAGCTTTCTTTGTTGGATTGAACAAGATGATTGTATTTAAGTTTTTTAGTGTATTGCAAGGTTTGATAATAAAATTTTTGGTTGTTTTCCGTCTAAATACTCCAATAGAGATTTTTTAAAGTAATTTAAGACTTATTATGGCTTCTGACAAACTACAAAACAAAGGGCTGTACGTTTTAACCCTCCTCCCTCCAAAAAGAGAAGAATTTAAGGCTCCTTTGCCTTTATAAAATTGAACAGCTTTTGATTATTTCTGTTATTATTAGTTTATTGTACACTTAAGCCCTGAGTTGAGCCTTAACTAGATTTTATGTGCTTTGTGTTTTTCAGGAAACAGAGGCCATGAGAAAGAAATTGCAGAAGATGAAAGAGCAAAGATTGACCCTGTTGGCTGAAGTCCAGTATGATCTTGTTCCTCCATAAATTTGTAGGATTTGCATAACTTTAGAATTATAATTATTAATAATCAATGTAGAGTTAACATTTTAAGTTTTGACCATAAATTTTTTTTCAGGTTTTTGAAACGGAGGCACAAGTTCTTGTTGCAAAACCAATCTTCAAACACCCCAGCAGAGGGAAACCTTGTTCCATCACCGAATATGATGATTAGAAGTAAATCAAAGATGAAGGATAAGAAAACAACTGGAAAGAAACATACTTTGCGATGCCTTGATTTGAACCAAAAGGGAAAGATTTACAGTGAAAACGAAACCACTTTCACTCATCCTTCTCTGATGTTTGACTTAAACGAGAAGCAGCAGAAAAATTTCAGTGGAAAGGAGGAAGTTACTTTGCGAAGTTCTTTGCCGATTCTTGATTTAATTCAGAAGGAAAGGCTTTACCGGGGAAAGGAGGCCACTGCCCGAAGCATGACACCAATTTTTGATTTAAACCAGATTTCGGTAATCTATTTGAACTATTACGTGTTATTGTGATTAAAATTTGCATGCTATAATCTTTTATTATGAGCTAATGTCTCCTAAATTGTCTTCTATGGCAGAGAGAGGAGGAAGAACTACAGGCTAATGATAATCCAGTCGGGATAGAGGAATTCAAGAAAGGTTCAATCAGAATTGGAAGTGATGAGCAGCACAATGATATTAAAATATTAGCCTATAGGAATTCTAGAAATGGCCCAAACAGAGTTGGGAAAAGAAGGATCTCATGGCAAGATCAGGTGGCATTGAGGGTTTAAGTCTCTTACTTGCGATAGAAGTGCTCAATTTGGAGGGGTTGGGAACTGTGAGTTTAGTTTGCCTCCCTCCACCTGTTTTAATTGCTTTATGTTCTTTCTTTTTTTTTTTTTTTTCCACTTTGTAAAAAAGAAATATAGTTGCATCTATGAAATTTATATAGATAAATATCAAAATTGGTGGTTGGAATCAGGTATATTCTCACCGAAATGTTGTTTACTTGTATCATGACTCATCAATGCTGCTCTTGTTTGGTCGGAGTAATCGAGAAGCAACTTGGTGCTTGCAGTTATTTGTGGTGTGAATGATTGTTGGAAGATTCAAAATTTTGTTCCTTAGCCTAGCACATCCTAGTTCATATTTGCTAAGAAATGGAAGGTGCCGGCAGCTTCATCTTCTTACATGAAATGGCTATTTTGAGTAAGATGAAGGTTGTCGTCACTTTCGATCAGAATGCAAACGCAAATCCACAATATCCAAGGTTGTGGGTCCTCACCAAGCTCCTGAAGCAAATGCAAACACAAATTGATGCCAAAGTGGAAGGTGAAATTAGTTCAAATATTACAAAAGATAGGAGCTTGGATGTTAGGTAAAGCCTCGATTCAAGCACTCTCCAGGATCAGATAGCGATTCTGCAATAGAAACCTTGGACGGGGATGTTACATTCTAACTTTTCTTAAGGTAATTAAAGGCTGCCATAGAATCTTACTGTCATCAGTTTCTCTATCAATAGGAAAATGAAATTTGGTTTCTGGTTGTTAGGGAATAGTAAGATTCGAGTATTCTGCTATACTCTCTTTGCCTGTAAATTCAAGGACGTTCTAACTGTCGGTAGTTATGGAGAAATTTCGTAGTTGCACTTATCACTCAAATGTTTTGGAGACTTGTCTGTCGCAAACCAGCTGGAAAGCATTGGTCCTCTATGTGCGTCTTGTCTGCAGTTCCAAAGGTGCAGCAACGTCAAATTAATGGCTTTTTACTCTAAATCCTTGGTATCTAAGCAATTAATCAATCTTGGGCGCACCTCATTAAATTTTGGATTTCAGCTAAAATACCAACTTCTAATTAAATGTCTCAGTACAAAAGATGCAGAGAAAGAGAGAGAAGAGCAATTTTCATAGCTTCCAACACGTATCTGCAGAGTAGATTTTGTCTGCGGATACGGTTTACAATCAATTTACAACACATAGGCCGTAACTATCTGCCTCTGGAACATCCATTAGCTTCTCATTTGCTTCGTCGGCCACCACATCCGTGACTTCCGGCATCTGAGTACCATCAGTTCTTGCCTGCTCAGTGACTGTATTGGTAGTGGATCATTATTTTCGTCAAGTTCCAGGAGTCGGGCAATGTGCATGTTCCCCTTTTTTTATGAGTTTCCTTTACCATCTCATAATACGCACCAACCGAACACATTTGACACCAGAACTCAAATATAGTGGCACAAATCAATTGTTAGAGATTGATGTCATGAGTCATGCAAGTCTTTTTTATTTTCTTTGTCATCGCTGACGCTTGTATACTCATTTATTTGCGGAAGGTTGCACACTTTATATGATATTAATCCTGTTGAAACTTTAGTTCGACAAATATGTTTTAAAATGTTATCAATGAAATGTATGCTTAACTTCAAAAATTTTATTTGCTAGATATCATTATTTTTTCCATTGAAAGATTGTAGTTAACAACGAATGAGATGAGGTGATAATAACCACTCAAATATATTATAGCTGATAATGGTGAAATAAGAATAATGACAACCACGATGGTTACGGTTGACGAAGGATGAAATGAATGAAGCAATGAAGTGATGAAGCCCACAATGACTTAACATTGTCAAACGGCCGGATCAGGGAGAGCCAAGGCTACTACAGCTACTAGGTTGGGAAAAAATGATAGTTGTGGGCCCTCAACCGCGTAGATAATGCAAAAGATGTTATTTAGATATGCAATGTTAAATGTAATTGTAGTAAAGCATTGATGTTAGCGACAGCTGTAGAGATAAATGTATAAGATGAAATGTCTGTAGTAGTTATGAAGGTATCTACAGTGGTTATGATAGTGAGCGTATGGAGCATTATATTTATAACGAATAAAAAAATTTAGATTTTACTATCTAAAATAAAGAAATTAAAATTTTTGGGTAGAGACCTAATATTTAGTAATTAGGATTTAACTGAATGTATTTCGATTTTCAATCAAAATTAACTCATTTTAAAATTTGACTCTAACAACTATAATAATAGATACCATATAAAATAACGTGTAGTTTAATGTCACAATAAATCGATTCCTGCTGTTAGAGCTAGAAAATGAGAAAAACCGTGTACCCAACATGAAAAGTTTTTTCCTTATACAAAATGTCTCCAATTTTGCCAAATGGGAAGCAATTGTAAACTAATTTTTGTTTTAATTGAACATGTGGTATTCGGCGGTACGTAGAGCTGTAAAGGTGCAGAACTTAAATTAAATAGTAAGTTGTTATTATTATTTATTCGTGAAATTTCCCACAAGAGATGTCTTTTGATTTCTTCCCCATTATGGCTATCCAATCTCAAAAGCCTTGGATAAAAGGGTTCCTTTTCTCTGCTTTGTTAGTTAATCACTGCACTAAACATGCCTTCTCGCTGCGAAATTTGTTGTGAACTCCTGATAAGGCGTGGCTGTTGCAGCGTAAGTAAAATTTTCTCCCCCACATCTTTTAATAAGTTGTCCTGTTTGAATTGCGGATTCGATTTTTTATTTAAAATGAATTCTGGGTTTTGATGATTTTTCCAGGTAGAGTTCTCCATTTGTCTGCTGTTAACTATTCTGGGATATGTTCCTGGGATAATCTATGCTCTCTACGCCATTGTTTTTGTGGATCGGGATGAGTACTTTGACGAGTACAGGCGTCCACTTTATTATTCCAGTGCCTAGCCTTCTTTAATTATCTCTCTTTTGCTGTTATATGATGATGCTGAAACCCTACCCTTTTGCATTTAATTAATTTAACTTGATATTGATGTGTTGCAACTCTTCCATTAATGTCGATGTTGTGCTATTGTAATGGTTCTTTGTTCTTGGTTGGATTTTACAAGTGCTTAATTTTAACTTAATTCAAATTCAAGTTCACTTTTGGTTCTTTTTCTTTAATCATATGTCAAATGATGTACAAAGAAACCTGATGAGATAGTTGATCTGCTTCATACCCAGGAGCAGAATTACTAGTACTTGGTATTGTTGCTAGGATCAGGATACAGGAGAGATTAGGATCACATACTCAATCCCTGTTTGAAAGTAGTTATTGTTCTGATTGGGTTTTACATTTATCAGATAGACACTGGATGGCTTTGTATTTTGTTATCACTCATCAGCTACCGTTAGAAACACGGGACTGTTATTCCTTGGACTTGAGTTGCATGACAGTGATATGTATGAATGTCTTTAGGGCTTGGAACTGGCCTGTAGTTTTTATTTTGTCAAGAAACTTCTATAGGTGGAACAACTGGTTAGGATCTTGTGGTCAGTCTGCTTCTTCCCTATATCACATTCTAAACAAGTACCTTTAAGTTTTTAGTTCCCTTGTTATTGGACATCCTCCAAATTTCACTTCATTGTATTCAGTATTCCCTGTTTTGTCATATCTTCCAAGTTGAATTAATGTCAAACTACAGTCAATTATCAATATTTTAGATACTCTGTGACCAGAATCGCTCCAGCTAATTAAGAAAACTGGGACTTAAGTAGATATAAAATGGTGACAACAAGAATAAAAGACTCCTATTGATTTTTCTTCTTGTTCCCACAATTTGATTTCACATGTAAGATGGAAGTTTTGTTTCTGCAATCTAATTGGCCTCTCTCTAAATGACCATCGACAATTCAATTTCCATCTTGATTGTAGGTTTCATTTTTAATCTTCCACTCTTCTTATTTGTTGAGTTAGCTACAGTCTGATCCTTTCCCTGTGTTTTACGAATAAACTTGTCTGCTTATTGCTATTGCCTCTCAGCACTTTGTCAAATATAGTTGTGTCTACCTCATTGCACACAGTTGCTCTTCATCTTTGTTTCAGTAGCTTGTGTGGGTTGTCTCGTTCCCGTATAAAGTAACAATTTAAGATTGTCTGAACTCTTGTTCATCACAGTTAGTCCCTATTTGATTCAGAATTCGCTTTCGACAGATGCAGAATAGTAGATTGCAATTGATAGGAAAAAGTGAAAAACAGTGATGGGTACTATTAGCAATATCTTGCTTCTTTGCTGGTATACTATTTTTGCAGAATTTCTCATCCTTACATGTAGGATTAAATCCCTTGGTGAACTGCAACTAACCTATTTCATGACCTACAAGCTAAAACCTTTGTGAAACCACATATGATGAACAAAGGTGTAAATTGGAGAAAGTATGAATTGGATCACTATTGGTATGACTATGAATTATGACTGAAAAAAGTAGTTTTTCATATACCCAATGCAATATCGAACTTGCAGGATTTGAAGGATATAAAGAAGCCAAAATTTTGTATACCCAGGTCAGATTGGAGGTTGTATGATAAGAGGCTTCAGACTGATGTTTTCCGAATCTAAGAGAAAGAAAAAGGAACATGCTTCCAATTGCTTAGCTTTGTATTTGCTTATTACTGTATTATGAATCATCTTTTCATGTTTCCTTGTATTAACGGTTGGTTTTTTGGCTCAAGTTGTGGTAATACTTATTTCCTCTATTACTAGTTTCCCATTTGTCCATTATTTGATTCCTGAACGGGTAAATGGAAATGGCCAATGTGCCTATTTTGAATTGTCATATATGATGGCTAGTTTCATTTTTGTATGGGCATGGGGAAGGTATGTTTCTTTCCAGGCTTGAACTTGCCACTAGTGTGGTACCATCCATGAACTGTGAAATAAAAGAGGTCAAAGTTAGAATGTTAAATGGAGTATATGAAAGATCTGTAGCTAGCTTAGGATGATATTTAGTGATTCATGTTAGAGATGGGGAATTCAAGGCTGTAAAACTTAAATAAACAGGATTCAACAAAAAAAGTTTAGTTAAAGAACAAAAAAAAAAAAAAAAATAGCTTAGTCTCGTGTATAAACTAACAATTTAAGGTTGTCTGAACTCTTGTTCATCATAATTAGCCCCTATTTGATTCAGAATTCGCTTTCGACAGATGCTGAATCTTAAATTGCAATTGATAGGAAAAACTGTGATGGGTATTATTAGCATTTTGTTGCTTCTTTGCTGGTATACTCTCTTTGCAGAATTTCTCATCCTTAAATGTAGGGTTAAAGCCTTTGGTGAACTGCAACTTACCTGTTTCATGTCCTACAAGCTAAAGCCTTTGTGAAACCACATACAATGAAAAAAGGTGTCGGTTGGAGAAAGTATGAAGTGGATCATTATTGGTATGACTATGAATTACGACTGAAAAAACTAGTTTTTCATATACCCAATGCAACATCGAACTTGAAGGATTTGAAGGAATAAAAGAAGCCAAATTTTATTATACCCAGGCCACTTTTTCATACTGAGAGACATGAGTATTGGAGGGTCTATGATGAGAGATTTCAAACTGATGTTTTCCCAATCCAGGAGAAAGATAAAGGAACATGCTTTCAGTTGTCAACAGTTGAATTACTGTATTATGAATAGCTTTGTATTCGCGTATTACTGTATTATGAATCATCTTTTAATGTTTCCTTGTATGAACTATTGTCTTTTTTTTTTTTGGTCTTAAGCTGTAGTAATACTTATTTCCCCTATTAGTAGTTTCCCGTTTGTCCATTGTTTGATCCCTGAAAGCGTAAAAGGAAATGGCCAATGAACCTGTTTTGAATTGTCATATATGATAATATGAGAGATGGCTGGGTTCATTTTTGTATGGACACTGGGAAGGTATGTTTCTTCCCAGCCTTGAACTTGCCAATAGTGTGGCACCATCCATTAGCTGTGAAATAAAACAGGTTAAAGTTAGAATGTTAAATGGAGTACATGAAAGATCTCTAGCTATCTTGGGATAATATTTAGTGATTCATGTTAGAGATGGGTAATTCAAGGCGGCAAACTTAAATAAACACAATTCAACAAAAAAGGTTTACTTAAAGGATAAAAAAAACAGCTTAATTGGTTAGATACTGACGGAGAGAACAAACAACTAATAACGAGCCCTTATTTTGTCAAACGCCACTAAGCCTTCATAAAGATGTTTCCGGAAAGGTTTCATATGAGAGGTCTCCAGGCATGCTACCACCGAGAGGCTCCCGTCATCAGTTGGACTTGGAAATAGGAATATTTTTCCTTCATGGACAACATTTGCAAGGCCCACGTGGATGGGACGACCCCATCCAAAATTTGCATCATACACAGGAAATCGCATCAAGTTGTTGACATTTAGGTTTGGGCACTGGAAAGTTTGTGGTCCTCTCCTGACAGCAGTTATATCTGGCAGTTTTTGTAGGTAATCGAGAACTGATCTTAGATACTCATTGTCCATCCTTTCCAATGCGCCATGAATTTGCTCTATGGTATTTATAAATGGTTCTGATTGGAGATTTCCAGATAGAGCAACTAATGAAGCCGTGAAAATAGCATTGCCCAGGTATCCTGACGGGAGAGGAGGATGCAGTCTGGGGCGTCCATTAATTGGCATGTGTAGCTTGGTTGGTTGATCATCTAAGAGGCCTCGAGCTTTACTTACACAACGCCATATGTATGCGGTTAGGATAGTGTTGGTGCTGCACTTAATTGCATTTTCATTTTTGAATGACTTGGCTTTTAGGGTATTGAGTTGATTGAATGTGATCTTAAAAACGGATACAGATGAGGGTTTAGGATCGGGGTCAAGTTTAAGAATTGACGTAGAGGTGCTTAAGGCAGGAGATGGATCATATTCAACATGATGAAATCTAGGGGTTGGTGGCACACGTGCTCCAAGAAGGGTTCGGTCAATAAGTGGCGCCTCCCTAATCACGGACAAGCCTCTTGCTAAGTCAGACCAACTATTGATGAAATGAAAGGAAGTTGTGCCATCTGCCAAAGTGTGGTGAATTCCAATTCCAACAGAGACTCCACCGCATTTGAAAGTTGTTACCTAGCAAAATATACACGCAATTAAGCTTTTCCAGTTTTCAGTTGTCTATCATTAGTCTTTTTTATTCTATGATTATGCTTCTACTTTGAACTTCAAAGATAAGTAGTTACAAATTGTTCAACTCAATCAGAGCGCATTTGAAGCAAAATTCTTCATCAGGTGTTGGTTCTATTAGTTCTGCAAAATAAAATAAAACTCGATAAAACATATACATTAAGTCATTCCTCGTTTGAAAAATTTTATCTCACGTTCAAGAACTAGTGTTTGATTGTAAACCCATTTATATTGGGTTAGTCGTCTTTTATTTTTTCTAGTAGTTCATTTACTTTACACTTTGAGTTGGACTCTTTTTGTGTTATATAGTTAGACCCATTATAATTTAAATGAAGGAAATGATAGAATGAAAATAGGGGTTGGAATAACAATGTAGAGAATCGAGAAGTTAAGGTGTCTAACGTGAAAGAGGAAGGAAGAAAGATTTTTTGTATTTATGAGAAAAATGCAAACTTTCGTGTAAGTTGTCTCTTACTCTACTAAATGAGTATCTTTGATGTATTTTGAAGTAAAAAACATCTTATTTTGTTTGTTATTTACAAACTTGAAAGTTAGCCATGCTTGATAGTTGGTTATGTGATTATTTGACCTTTGAGCTTGGTTGATTAAAGATAGTTTTCTGTGTAAAAGTTGTGCTGGAAATTTGTGTATGATTACGGTGAAAAGTTATGATTTTGGTGGTTCATTGAAGCTTGGGTTATTACGTATCAAGAAGCTTTATAGAGTTTGCATGCCAAGTGTTTGTGAAAATGTCTCTTAGGGCTTTCATTCCAACAAAAGTGGTTTCAAAGCTTGTGGTTTGTTTGTGTTGAATCCTTGGTGAAGTTGGCCTTCCATTTGGGGTTTTTTTATTGTTGAGGTGATTTATAGTTGGTTTTGGTGAAATTGGCATAATGATGACTAACAACTTTGTGCAACCCTAAATTCCTAAATTAGGCAAGAATAATTATGATAATTGGCGTATACAAATGAACGCGTTGTTATATTCTCGAGATTTTTGGGAGATTGTTCATAAGGGGTTTGAGGAACCTAGTGAAGCGGATGAAGAGAGACTAACGGAGGCTCAAAAGTCTACTTTTAAAGATGTAAGGAAGAAAGATAAGAATGCTTTATTAGTGCTTTATCAAACAATTGATGAATCAAACTTTGAGAAAATTTTTATGGTGATAACTTCTAAAAAGTCTTGGGATATCCTTAAGAATTCATATAAAGGGATTGACAAGGTTGTGAAGGTTCGCCTACAAGTGTTAAGGAGTAAGTTTAATGCCATATCCATGAATGTGAATGAAACCATTTTGGAGTACTTTGGAAGAGTGTTGGCTATTGTGAATGAGATAAGGAGGAATGGTGAGAAACTTGGTGATGTCCCAGTTATGGAAAAGATTCCTCGATCTTTAACTCCAAAGTTTGAGCAAATAACGGTGATTGTTGAAAAAGCGAAGGACTTGAAAAATATGACAGTTGATCAATTGATGGAAACATTGCAAGTACATGTACAAAGGTTGAACAAGAAGATGACTAGCTGCATTGACCAAGCCTTCCACACCAAGCTTACTTTGGATGAAGATAGAAAGGAAAGTGGTGCTCAAGGTACTCAAAAAAGAAAAGGTAAAGGTTATAGAGGCCATGGAAGAAGTAATCCAAATAGAGGTTGTCACAATGAAGGTGGTGGTAGAGATTATGATGATCAAGGAAAAGGCTTTATAAGTAGAAGTAAAGGTAGAACACGAGGTGGACGACATCAATCATGGCATGTTCCACGAGAAAGAGGAAGAGGTAAAAGTGATAGTAACTTTAACAACTCTCCAAACTAACAAGGTTACGACAAAAGGAACATTCAATGCTATTATTGCCATAAATATGGGCATTATAGTAATGAATGTTGGGGAAAGCAAGATGGCGAAGTTAATGAGCAAGCAAACTATGTTGAAAAGGATTATGTTGATGTGGATTCTACTTTGTTGTTTACTTCTGATAGGACTATTGTGCATGAAAGCAACACTTGGTATCTTGGTAATGCTAGCATATGACTGGAAACGAGAATGCCTTTGTTGAGTTGAATGAAGCAATGAAAGGCAATGTCACTTTTAGAGATGAATCTAACGTTCAAGTGAAAGAAAAAAGTAACATTCTCATCAAGCTTAAGAATGGTTCTCGTAATTTTATTTTCGATGTCTACTATATTTCTTTTTTGAAAAAGAACAGCTTGAATTTAAGGCAACTTTTGGAGAAAGGTTATGTGATACATATGCATAATGGTCTTCTAACTATAAAAGATAGGAATGGCAAGTTGATTACTATTGTGAAGATATCAAATAGAATGTTTTGCTTGAGTTTGCAATATGATGAAATTCATCGCTTGAGTTCTATTATGCAAGATGAGTCTTGGTTGTGGAACTTGAAGTTTGGGCATCTTAATTTTGATGGCTTTAGAGCTTTGGCAAGTAAGAATATGGTGAAAGGGTTGCCTCATATTAATCATCCCAATCAAATTTGTGAAGGGTGCATTCTTAGCAAACAACATAGTCTAAGTGTTGACAATAAAGGTAGGTGGAGAGCAACTAAACCTTTCGAGCTTGCGCACATTGACATTTGTGGTGCTTTGAAACCAATGTCAAGTGGAAGGAATAGATATTTTGTGACTTTCATTGATGATTTTAGTCGAAAGACTTTGATGTATCTCTTTATAAGTAAGTGCGACTTGTTAGATGTATTCAAAAAGTTCAAGGCCTTTATGGAGAATAAATGGTTATTACTTAAAGATTCTCAGGTTCGATCAAGGTGGAGAGTACACTTAATATCAATTCAAACACTTATGCAAAGAAAATGAGATTATGCACCAAGTTACCTCGTCCCACACCCTACAACTCAATGGAGTTGCCGAAAGGAAGAATCAGACAATTTTGGATATGGCAAAGAGTATGATGAAAGGAAAGAAAAGGCTTAGAGAGTTTTGGACGAAAGCGGTTGCATGCACCGTGTACTTGTTAAATCAGTGTCCTAATAAAAGTGTTTACTTGAAGACTCCAAAGGAAACTTGGAGTGGTTAAAACCAAGTGTAGCCCATCTAAAAGTATTTGGATGTATTGCTTATACCAAAATTCCGGAAGCTAAAAGAACAAAGCTTAATGATAAAGGGATGAAATTTATCTTTCTTGGTTATGGTGCATAGGCTATAGGTTACAAGTTGTACAACCCACTCTCCAAAAGAGTTTTTATGAGTAGAGATGTGATCTTTGAAGAGAATGCCATGTGGGATTGGAATCTTGATGAACTTAATGTTGTGGAACTTCAACTTGAGAATGAAGAAGGAGAACCTAGAGTGGTCCAATGTGTAGAGCCACAAACACCTCTTTATAGTTCCCTACAACATCATTTTCATCATCCAAAGAAAGCTCAAGTGAAAGGCCTCAAAAAACTAAAAGTTTAATGAAAATTTATGATCTCATCGAAAATAATGAAGACATTAATATTGTTTTTATATGGATTGTGATCCTATTTGTTTTGAAGAGGCGATTCAATAAGAGAAATGGAAGAAAGCGATGGATGAGAAAATGAAGGCAATTGAGAAGAATGATACTTGGTCTTTAACTTCTTTACTGGAAGGTAAAAAGGCCATTAGTGTGAAATGGTGAACAAGACTAAAAAGAATACAAAGGGAGAAGTTCAAAGATACAAGGCAAGATTGTTGGCAAAAGGGTACAAGCAAAAGCCCAATACTGACTATGATGAAGTTTTTGCTCCAGTTGCTCGATTAGAGACCATTAGATTGATGATTTCTTCGGCTGCCAAAATGGTTGGAAACTTTATCAATCGGTTTGTCAAGTCCGCATTCTTGAATGGTTTTTTTGAAAAGGAGATATATGTGGAACAACCTTTGGGGTATTTGAAACCGGGTTGTGAAGGCAATGCGCACAAGTTGAGAAAGGCTTTTTATGGGCTTAAGCAAGCACCACGTGCATGGAATGCTAGAATTGGCAAGTATTTCCACAATTCCAAGTTTGAGAAATGTCTTTATGAATATGCTTTGTATGTGAAGAAGACCACTTGTGGGGATGTGTTATTTGTGTGTCTTTATGTTGATGATTTAACCTTCATCGGAAACAATGCAACCATGTGTGATGAATTTAAGAAAAGTATGATTCAAGAGTTCGAGATGACAAATATTGGCTTGATAGCACACTTTCTTGGCATTGAGGTAGTGCAAAAGGATGATGGGATCTTTATTTCTCAAAGTGCATATGCAAAGAAGGTTCTCAAAAGATTCAAGATGGAGTCTTGTAATGAAGTGAACACCCCCTTGATTGTGGCTTGATGTTGAGGAAAAGTACTAGTGGTGGTAATGTAGATCCTACATATTCTAAAAACCTAGTTGGAAGTTTACGTTATCTCACTTGCACTAGACCCGACATTCTTTATGGAGTTGGTTTGATTAGTAGATACATAGAAGCACCAGATCAATCACACCTTAGTGTGGGAAAGAGGATCCAAAAATATGTCAAAGGAACTATCAATGATGGCTTGTTCTATTCTTATTGCAATGATGTGAAACTTGTTAGTTATTCAGATAGTGATTGAGGTAGAGGTTTGGATGATAGGAAGAGCACTTCCAGTTTAGCTTTCTTTGTTGGTGATTGTACATTCACTTGGTCATCCCAAAAGCAACCTATTGTGACTTTATCAACTCGTGAAACAGAATATGTAGCGACAAATTCTTTCATCTGCCATGCTATTTGGTTGAGAAATCTATTGGACTATTTGGAGTTAGGGCAAAAATATCCTACGGAGATTTTTGTTGACAATCGCTCGACTATTGCTTTGGCCAAGAATCTAGTGTTTCATGAAATGAGTAAGTACATTGAAACTCACCATCACTTTATTCGAAAGCATGTGGAGAAAAAAGAAGTTTAGTTAGTGCATTGCAAGTCTTAAGAACAAGTAGCGGATATCTTTACCAAGCCATTGAAGATTTATGTGTTTAAAAGGATGAAGGTGACGTTAGGAACAAAAAATGGTAATTAGGTTTAATGGAGGATGTTAGATTGTAAACCCATTTATATTGGGTTAGTCACTTGTTTTTTATTTTTTTTCTAATAGCTCATTTACTTTACACTTTGAGTTGAACTCTTTTTTTGTGTTATATAATTAGGCCTATTATAATGTAAATGAAGTAAACGATAGAATGAAAATAGGGGCTGGAAAAACAATGTAGAGAATAGAGAAGTTAGGGTGTTTTAACGTTAAAGAGGAAGGAAGAAAGATGGACTATTTGTCTTTGTGAGAAAAATGCAAACTTTTGTGTCATTTGTATCTTACTCTACTAAATAAATATCTTTGATGTATTTTAAAGTAAAAAACATGTTATTTTGTTTGTTATTTACAAACTTGAAAGTTAACTATGCTTGATAGTTGGTTATGTAGTTATTTGACCTTAGAGCTTGGTTGATTGAAGATAGTTTTCAGTGTAAAACTTGTGTTGGAAATTTGTGCATGATTATGGTGAAAAGTTGTAATTTTGGTGATTCATTGAAGCTTGGGTTATTATGTTTCAAGAAGCTATATAGAGTTTGCATGTCTAAGTGTTTGTGAAAATGTCTCTTAAGGCCTTCCTTCCAACAGCTAGAACTGCCCTCTGGTAAGATTGCACTCTGGTCGGAAAACAAATAGAAAAAAAATATACAAATAATAAATAAATTTTTGAACCTAAAAGTACCTGTTAACCTGCCTTAGTTTTTCTTTCATTTTGAAGCAAAACAGACCAACTTTTTAGCTGATAGCTTATTGTTTCTTATGCTTTAACGTCATTAATTGTCAGCCCCTTCATTCTTTTTATTAATGTCTTTCAAGGTTTTTCTTAGTCTTTGTCTTTGATCTCCTAGTAACTCTTATTATCTAATCATTAGATTGTCATTCTTGTTTTGTGAACACTGACCTGGGCCATAACAAGCGGGTAAGAGGAGGTATCTCCAGAGTAATCAACCGTTGGAACTAGTTGCCGCAGTTTTAAGCTAGGAACAAAATCGCCAAGATCATATATAGCACAAGTAGTTTCAGCTTCTATGAATAGAACTCCCTCCGCATTGCATATTATCTGGAGTCTACCATTTTCATCACTTCCCAACCTCCCAGCCATAGGGTAGAATGGCACAAGAGTCTTGCTTAAAGCCTCTTTAAGCACTTGGGCTTTAAAGAAATCAGAGGAACCATTTGGTTTGTAGAAGAACAACAAGGGAACATGATATGTTGTCATCACCATGTCCACATTTGAGATCCATTGTCTCTCCTTTGGCGTGTCTTGAGCAGGGCATATCATGCTCGATCCCTTTACAGTAATCTCCATCTCTTCAGAAACTGCAGTGACCTCTGAAACCTCAAAATCAGATCTGATATATACTCTCTCAACTTTATTTATTTACATGTTTTGGACATAACCTAATTCGAATTTAGTGCTACTCTTCAAGATTCTGTGTTGTAGTAAGAAGCTTGCAAGCTTCTGATAGTCTTGCCTGTCTACGGTGTCATGTTTCGGATAAATTCATTTAAGATAATTTTACGGGATCGGAGGTCAATATGATGGAGCTTCTATATGGGTTTTCCTTCTATTGATGCAAAACATATATGTCAAACCGAAAAAAGAGAAATAAAAAAAAAAAAGCATCGACACAAGGGGAGGTAAGTGTCCGTACCTTGTAATACCAGAAGTAAAGGCGCTCAAAATTTTCTTGGTTTGGAACCACCGGAGGAGAGTCGGTGCTAAAATTGAAGTTATGCCCCAAAGTAGCGAGTTTCAATACGTCTTCACAGTCTCGAGTTTTGGCCTTATCTTCTCGTGACAATGTTACAGCTGTCGCCCTTGCTTGTGCCGCTACCTTTCACTTAAGCAAGGACAAAACAAAAAAACAATTCATTAATTACCAAAAGATAACAATGCTTTACAGCTAATAAAGCTTGCTCTCTGAGTGTAATGCCAATGTATCATCTGCATGATAAGTGATTCAAACCCCAGTCAAAGAGATAAAAATAAGTAATAATTCAACCCAATGGTTTTTTTTTTCTTGTCTTTTTGGATGAATAGTTCAAACTAATGTTAGTGGTCTTCCGTGGTACTCATGTAAATTGTTGATGTATGATAAACTATTAAATTTTTAATTTTAATAATTAAACTTTAAACTTTGACATCTTTAAATATAAAATAAATATTTATAATCTGTAAACGTGTGCTCTTACATAATTGTTTCATCATGTTTTTCAAAATTCTTTTCATAGTTAATAATTTAATCAAATTGAATCATAGAGTTATCGATCCTAGATGGAGATTAATTTTTCATGTCAAATTCAATAATGGCTGTCACAGTATTTCAAAAGCTAACATCAGAGCTTCTTCTGCCTATGGCCTTCAGTTGTTGGATGGGCATTGGAAAATTGTGTCTCAAGATTTTATAATTATCTAAAGGGATGATATTTAGTAGCTTTTGTTTAAGATGAGGGATTAATTCAAGTAAGTTGAATTTTAAAAAAGTATATGAAACAAGAAGTTTGATAAAACGAAATTATAAAAAAAAAATGGAAAACACCCTTTGTATATGTTACATTATGACAGATCATAACAATTAAAACAAAAAACGAGACTTTATTTTCATATGGGACGTCTGCAGGCATGCTGTCAGTGACGAGCTCCCATCGTCATCTGGGCTTGGTAGCAAGTATATCTTTTCTCAATGAACCACATTTGCTGGGTCCATACCCCAAGTCTGCATCATGTACAGGGAATCCTATCCAACTGATGATACATAAAGGTTTTTGGGCATTCGGAAGTGTAAGCTCCATGCTTAAAGCTAGTTACATAGTAGTTTTTTTAGGTGGATAAATTATTTTAGATATATAAGATTATAATAAGATATGATAAAATAATATTATGAATAGTATAAATAAATTTGAAGATTTTTTTTTAAATTTATTGGGTTTTGAATTTTAATTGTGCAATTATGAATTATGGATCTAAAAATTATGCCATAAATTTTATTTACTTTTAGTTTTTTTTTAGTTTAATTTTTATTTTTTAGTCAAAAGAGTTAAAGTCAATCGATAAAAAATAAATAAATAAAAATAAAAAAAGTGAGATTTTATATGAAAAATCTTGGATCAATTCAACAATTGGATTTTATCTCATATATTTAATTTTAGTGGTTGAATAATTTTAAAAAGACTTAAAGCTCAATCTATTGAAAAATAAAATATTACACATAGAATAAAATTTAGAAAAAAATCTTAAATTCGGTTGAATTAATTTTTTTGAAATAAAAAAGGATTCGATCCCTATATAAAAACCTTAAATCTGTGATCAAAGGAGGGCTTTACAGTAATTCACTTCATGATCAAACAAAGGTTATTGAAAAGAAAGGAAATTAGGGCAAAGTTCTGAATTAACAAGGACAAAGCAATCAAGCAAAAAAATTTGCAAAAAGATCGGGTTAAAATTTTTGAAAGGAAGGCTAAAATTTATAATAGAAAATATCAATTTTTGAAAGGTAAAAAATTTTTTAAATCCATTGAGGTAATGTTTGCTTTCATTCTTTTTTTTTTTTTGTGATTTACATAACTTTTATAATATTTAATTACTTACACTTATTTTTATATTTATTACATGATATTTATTTTTTGCATGAATTTGCATGATTATATATTTAATTACATATTTTTTTGCATTATTATATATTTAATTGTATGTTTATTTGCATGGTTTTATATATTTTTATTTGCCTGATTATATATTAAATTGCATGTTTATTCCATGTTTATATATTTAATTGCATATTAATTTACATGATTATTAATTTATTTATTTGTGTGATTGTATGATTATTAATGTATTTATTTGCAAGGTTATTTATTTATTATCATTATTGCATGATTTTATATTTATTGCATGATATATGTTATTGAATGATATTTGATTGTATGTTTCTATATTTATTGTGTGCATAATTGCATGATTATATTTAATTACATAATATATTTGTGTGATTATATTTGATTTCATGATTATATATTTGCATGGGATTTTATATTATTGCATGATAATTAATATATTTGCATGACATTTTTGCATGAATATTTTAGTATGATCTAGGCATGATACTATTGCATGATATTTGGTATGATTTATAATATATTTGCATGATAATTTTTGCATGGTATGATTTAATATTTATTGCATGATTGCTTGATATTCTTGATAGAATTTTTTGTATCACCATGCTTTATAAATAAATAAAAGGATTGGAATTGATTTATTTACATGATAAAACTATTTTTGATAAGACTTAGGTGAAATAATACATAGTTAATTTGGTACCAATTTTAGGCGTAAAGGAATGTTAATACCTTTCCTACACGTAATCAACTCTCAAACCCTAGTTCTGATGATGTAGATTAAAATATATTCTTTTTAGAGATTCTTAGCTTAGGCTTTGGATAACCTTAAAGAGGATAGATTCACATAGATAGCCAATCACACATAACTAAAAAGGATTGGTTGTGATTCCATAGCTTTTGTGTCTAATGGGTAGGTTCTTTAACCTAGACGTTATGATAGTTTGACGACTTCACTGAAAACTATGAGAGTCAAGCCATTAGTTATTTATGTGTTATCATAAGCTTTACTTTGATAGTTTTTATTATGTAATTATTTATGATTTTCTTGTAGACTAACCTATTTGTTTATGATTTCTTGTTTGTTTTGCAAAATTATTTTTTATTCACACCTATCTATTTGATTACTCGGCATGTCCCTTTACACACATCACAGTTGTATTCATGCATAAGCTCTATACCTAAGCTTTATCATTTATTAGAAAAAAGCAAGTACTTACACTTTCATGGGGTGATAACCTTTGTGTAAGCTAGCGAATACTCCCGCTTAAATTGAACATTTTTTGTTTGAGCCTATAATGGTGGGTGAGGATTGGGGTGCCTTACTAGTCTATAATGGATGATGATATAGGGATAATTTGAAAGCCTATAGATTGTAAAGCTTTTAAACCCAGCATGTACATGAACCATAAGGATACAAACCTAGGTTAGAGCCTTACCTTCGTTTTAATTTGAAAAAAACCTAAATAAGACACATGATGGAACAGTTATTAATCTTATAAATTTATGTTATTTCTTATATATATTTTTGCATACTAACCTTTTATATTTTGTTATTTCTTGTATATGTTATATTATGTTATTTAACCTTTTTTTCTCTATTTTATTATACATGCATACATCATTAGATTTACATAAAAAGTGATTACCATAAAATAATTTTAACAAAAATAATCTTAATTACATCTATGGATAGCCTACTAAAGTTTCTTATGTGCTTGAGAACGAAGTTCCAAGGAAAGCTCAGCTTAAAAGAGATGATTGTTTGTTAATCAATTATGTAACTACTTTGCCTGCCAAAATCCATCTCAATCTCAAACGAATTGATATCAACAAGTTGGTTAGTATTTGGAACCAATGGAGTGTCACTACTGAAGAGACTTTTCAAAAGAAGTTTCGGGACCTTGCATTACTTCTTTTAGTCTCTGTAGATCATCAGCTTATTAGGGCCAGGGTTTAGTTTTGGGATCCTTCATATCACTACTTTATGTTAAATAAGGCTGATATGGTGCCAACTATTGAAGAATATCAACTCTCTTTCACTTGGAACTCCCCAATCTTGATAAGGTATATTGGAAAAATAAAAAGATTGATTACCAAAAAATGCTTACTCAAATGATAGTCATAGATGTCCAAATTATTGGTAATTGGGTAAAAGGAAAATGTAAAAGTGTTGGTATTCCTTGGTTCATTGTTTGTAACTTTATATACAAATATTTTAGCACTGAAAAAGGAATGGATTTGATGGCATTAGCTTTATATGGGATGATGGTATTTCAAAAAGTAATTGGTTATATTGATATTGCAGTAGCAGATTTCTTTAATCAACTTGGTTACCAAATCAATCCTATTTCTTTAATTTTTACTGAGACTATTAGATCTTTAAATCATTGTCTCTGAAATAGATAGGGTCATTTTATCGGATGTGCTCAACCCAAAAATAATGGTGGTAAATTTCACAAGCCATATTCACTGCAAGCACTCTCATCAAGGAATTTTGTGAAAGTGAATGGCTTATACAAAAAATCAAAAGAAACATGGATCTTATTTTTACGTAGGCTCACTAGCCAAGATGTGATACGGAGAGCTCTTTAGATGCCTTATGGACCAGTATTATATGGTTATAAAGATAAGTTTTAGGTTCTTCTCTTAGGCCTTTTAAGGTGTAGTGAGTTATTCTCCCATCATGGATCAAAGACAATATGTCTATGAATAATTTATCCTAGCCACTTTTAAACTTAGTAAAATAGAGTTCTCATATGTTGAAATTAATGCCTTTATAAAGATAACCAAAGCTCTGCAAGCTTGGAAGAATTTGCCTTAAAGAGAAGATAAGAGGAAATGCTTAAATGAGGTTATCTCTAAGTACTTTGTGTGTCACATTAAGTGAGGTAAAGACATTAAAATCCTTGAAGAAACAATGTCAAATGATCCAATGAAATCACCACATCTTGATCCCCTATTGGTAGTGAAAACTACTAAAAGAAATCTCTAAGTTGAAAAAGATGAATTAGAGCTTGAAAACAAAAGGCTAAAAAGAGAGTTAAGGAAAAAATGGACAAAAAGGTTCAAGCACTCAAACAAGAAATGAATGAATGGAAGAGTTTTTTTTTTTTATCTCAACAT